TGCTCCTGGTCACTTAAGCATTTTTTCCTAAGTGGAGGCCGTCACAGGCTCCAAACTAGATGTGGATTAATGGCTGGGCATTCACGCACTGAGTCTTCACCTGGTGCAGCTGCACTGATAGGGCTGCCTGCTTCGTTCATACAGGATAGGAGTAGAGGTGGGCATGGGTGGGGAGGAAGGTGTAAGGCAGGTAACCGTCAAGGACAGCAGCTTGTAAAAGTTTGTGCCCAGAATAGCTCCAAGAACACAGCTTCAGAATTCAGATAATCAGACTGGCAATTGGCTTTTCTCTGTGGTAGGTGGAGCAATACAGGCGTTTGGCTTGACATTGGCTGGAATATATGAACAGTCTTCTTGCCCGGATCAGTGACCCATCTCAGTCCTTTAATCATAGTCCTTTAATCAAAGCCGAAAGTCCACCCTTGACTGTGATCATTATTTTCACATCATCTATTTAGTATTCTAGCTACTGGCTTAGTGGCAGCTCCAGACACCTGTGTTCCCGTGGACAGGACTCTGGCAGATTTTTAGGGACGTTTATACATCTCCGGAGGCAACACTGCAAATGGTAAACAGCTATTTTTGTCAGGTGAGGGCAAACTGCTTCTGAGGGTCTAGACAGCAACTGAGAAAAATACATTAGTCGATGTTTTTAGTGCATGTAATTTTCCAGCAGAGGTGTGTGCTTGCTCCAGCAGCACATTACCAGCTGCATTAGGAGAGCCCTTGTTAGCATGTGCATCCTGTAATCTAACATCTCAGATTCCAGAATCCTTTTAAAGACTCGCCCAGGTCACTTAGGACTGTGGGAGAGGGGGCTGGAGTCTCCCTTTTCCCATGTGTGCCAGAGGGTGGGACCACACTTTAAGAAGCTTGTGCTTGCTGATTCCTCGGGCACAGCCTGGGACATGGGAGCCAGCGGAAGACCTTTAAAACAGGGTCACACTGTGGTTTTCCACAAACTAAACCCTCTCGTGTTCAGACATTTTATTTTTCATACCTTTTATTTGTAACATAAAATTTTTTCCTCCCGCATGAAAACTTACTCAGAAACTCAATCTGTAAGTCAAAGGTTGTATTCTGATTGAAGTAATCATGGGGCCCAAAGCTGACATGCTCTGTGCCTATTTCAGCCCCTCAGGGCCCCTGTGGCCCCACCCCTCAGAGCTGGGGAGCTCAGTGTGTCAGGCCTCGGGGTGCAGACCGAATGCCCCCTGTCTGCTGTGGGTTGGGGAGCTGGACACTGTTGATCCCTCTAATGGCTCACACTGTCAGTGGTCAGTAAATAGATACTAGATTAGTGATTGTGACAGTAGCTTCGGCTTTGGAGGGATCAGGAAAACCTAAATATCACACCTTTCAACTCCTCCTCGTTAGCTCAAATGTTCCTGGCTTCATTTCTGTGTAAAAGCTTTATACTCCACGTAGACATAGAAAGTCTCTGGCGAACTCAAACTGAGATATCTGATGAATTGAAGCCATTTCTCTATCGAGGAAACTACCCTGTTTCCCCCAAAATAAGACAGTATCTTATATTAATTTTTTCTCCCAAAGTTGCGCTAGGTCTTATTTTCAGGGGAGTTATATCTTTCCATGCACTAGGTCTTATTTTCGGAGGATGTCTTATTTTCGGGGAAACACAGTAGATGCTACAGAAATAACTCTTTGTGTATTACTATGAGTGCCTTAAATCTATTTGGAAAGTAGCTGGGATTTAAATACTGAATAATATTCACTAAATGAATACATTTGCAAATCAAATCTATCCACTTCCAGCTAAGGGGTCTGGCCAAGGTTGAGGTGGCCCTCATGACATTGAAGAGTGCCTCCTGGTGGTGCAGAAAAATTTTATATTGTTGGTTTGTGTTTCTTTTCCTTTGTTTTTCTACTAAGGATAAAGAAAAAAAAAAAAGTTCTAAAAGCTAGAAGGTTGAAGAAGCAAGCTGAAGTCTCTTACCTAGATTTTGACATGGAAGAGTATGAATTGAATTTGATCTTTGTGGCTGATAAAGTACAAAGCTAAGCTGTGGCTGAGTAAGGTCTTAGAGGCCAGGCCCCTTCAAGGTCCATATTAGGGTTTGTTCTGATTAAAGGGTTGATTGACAAAGAGTAAGAAAGATATCAAGCTGTATCTCAGGCATGTGGTTTTCAAACACCTTTTTTTAAAAAAAATCAAAACAAAACTGTTTCTCATTGGATGATGTTGCATACATTTCATTCATTAATAAAGCTATGGTTTTATTATAAATACTTCAAGTAAACTCTATACTTTGCTAATCCATATTTCTGTGGCCATTGCCACATTATGGTGACATGGTACCTAAAATTGCAGGTCAGGTGTGTTTGGGAGAGTTATTTTAAAGGCTAGAGCACTTTTGTTGAAAGTTAAAACTGTAAAACTAAGGTCCTAACTCTCCTGCTTGGTGGTGGTTTTTTGGTGGATGAGTAAACGGGGAGTGTAGCCCCCATACTTCCCTGAGGCCTTGACTTAATCTCTGTTGGGAGTGAAGAAGGCTCCAATAAATAGAACTTATCCTCCTCAAGGAAAAGCAATATACAGAGACAAAGAAGCCAGGATTTGGAGATTTAAAAAATCTTTATTAAAAATAAAGCAGATATTGTAGAGTGTGGCTTAAATCTGTAGGCAAAGAGGTTTCCTAATATTGGCTCTGTGATTAGACAGACCTCCTAGGACACCATCAGCTCTTCTTGGGGGAAGGAGCAGAGCAGAATGAGTTCTTTGCCCACAGGGAGGCTCCAAAGAGAAAGGGAAAGTGAGGGGTTCAGATGGAGTTACCTAAGTGGCCTGGCTCACAGCCCCCGGATATCTCAACACATTGAAACAAAAAATGTTTTTATTTGATTTTTTTTTTTTTTTTTTTTAGAGAGAGGAAGGGAAAGGGAGAGAGAAATATCAACATCAATAGGCTACCTCCTGAAGACCTCCTACTGGGTATTGAACCCACAACCCAGGTATGTGCTCTGACTGGGAATTGAACTGGTGACCTCTTGGTGCATGGTTCGACACTCAACCATTGAACCACGTCGTCCAGGCACTCTCGGCACATTTTTTATAGTACCCCCAGGCCAAAAGAAATACCAAAAGGTTCAATCAATTAAGTTCTGTCTCAACAAGTTAACAGTAGTAAGTGTTGCTATGCTTCTGAAAATATCCCACGGAGCCCCTGCGAGTTTGCTGTGGCAGCCAAGGCACCATGGAGCATAGCTGGAAAATGCACTCTCCTTCAGAACTCACCAATAAAAATAAGTCGCTCTTTATTCTCTTAGAAGAGTGAATAAACGAGGGAGTAGAAGAAAGGCCAGGAGCATTACTCTAATGGAGCTTCCTGCATGCGGAAGGAAATTTGAGGAGAGGGAAGAAACATACTCTTGTCCCAGAGTATCACCACAGCATCCAGGTTTCGGCTCAGAGTTAGCCCAGAACTGATGTGGCCCCCAACTCAGGAGACTGGACAGCATGTATTGAGAAGTTACACCTTCCAGTGTTCTTAGTACCACGTACATATTTGGAAGGGAAGTGGAAAGCGAAGGGATAAACCCAGGGGCGTAGATGGAATACATTTCTACAGCCTGCCCTTTCAATTCTGCATGCCTGAAGTCAAATATTATGAAGGCCGAGAATAAACTCATTTTTATTGGCCTAAGTTCGATACAGACAGTCAATTCTGCTGAGCCTCTAAGCTTTCTTTTTCTTTGTCCATAGCTCTAAATGGAAGCATAGCCTATGGAGGGAAAAATGAATAGCTGAGCTTTTCATATATACTCCGACCCCAACAATAAAATGCCCACTCCATTATAATGCAGAATTACTATTAATAATGAAAAGAAACACAGGGTGGATTTCTTACCATAAACAACTAAATATTTCCTGTGTGTGCGTGCCTCTTATTGTACCACAGAATCATGCCCCACCTGCATTTATAGCTTGATTGGTCAAGTGTGCATTTCAATCAGTCGGATTTGCCTCATGAGTGAAACACCAGCATTAGCAAAACACGAATTGCTCAATGTGCAAAAAACTTATCAAAGTAGTCAGGTATTTAATTCCTTTGTATTAAAATTGTATTGTGCCACATTGAACACATAAATTTAAGAGTCTGCAACTATGTCTGTGAAAGCATTTTATTGTTTTACCTGTACCCCTCCCCTGCCCCCAAAAGAGGCGTTTTCCAGGATGAATTTAGTTTGCTCTGTGGAGGAGGCAGTGTTGAATAGAATACCCAAAGTGAGGAGACGGGCATGGCTGTCACCATGATTACCTGTGGAAAGGAGGGCTAGCCACTGACTGGGAGATGCCCGGAGAAGAATGGTTCTTGGGGGAGGTCCTGTGTCTTCAGAGGAGGCGTGCCGTGCCCCCAGCCTCAGCCGCTGTGTTGTAGTCGCTCCCTGAGTTTCTTTTCCTTGCTTCTTCCTCAAGGCCTCCTAGTTGGCATCTCATTCTACTCCTATCTTCCTTACACCCCCCTCAGCTCCTCTTCCACCAGCTCCACTCCTCCCTAACAGAGCTTCCTCAGAAGCTCAAGTCTCTTGTCAGTAAAATGGGGTAATTAATAACCTCTGCCTACTTCACGGAGTAATCACGAGAATGGAATGAGATGTATGTTAAAGCATTTTGTTAACTGCAAAATGCCTCATAAATGTCAGGTGTTATAAATCATCAGCTGGTCTTTTCCTCAGCAAAAGCATTTTTATGTATATTTTACTCACCCTGTGAACAATTCTTTGTCAAATAACAAATGTAAATGCTGCTGTTTTTTTCCTGCTTGGATTACGGTGGCTCCTTTGCAGCTTTATGATGTAGGCTGAATCTTTACTCCTTTGGCTCATATCTCTTCCCCTGAACACCCATGCAGGATCATAATCCATAAAACACAGAAGCAGTAACTCCTTTTAATTGCCAGGAGTTCATCGTTTGCTGAGTTCTAACTGCAGTCACTTAGACACTTGCCTTGAAAAGCCTGTCTCTGTTTATCCCGCAGAGCCGGGACTGTGTGAAGCTGGGCCCTCCCGCGGAGGGAGAAGTGGTTGAAGTCAAGTGGCCTGATGGCAAACTCTATGGAGCCAAGTATCTCGGACTGAATGTGGCCCACATGTACCAGGTGAGCGCTGAGCAGTGTCTGATGCTTGCTGAGATGGACAGGAGAAACCAGAGGGTATATCCATTGTGCTGTGGATCAGCAAACCATATCAATATGGGGTACCTCTTACTTTGTAAAGGAGGCCAACACTTAATACCTGATGACCCAGGTATTAGTTTTATTACCATGTTTGCCACTGGGAAACCCTAATAACATTTGGTGAAAGGTAAAGAACGTTGTTAGGCTGGAAGGGTAGGCAGCTGGATGCTCGGCGGTTTTCCTGTGTTTTCATGATATGGGGAGAGCCTAATTGGCTAGTTTATCTCCCCAGAGCCAACACAGATGGCTGTTCACCACCAGCAGCCCCTGAATTTGTGGCTTTTACATGAGATGCCCATTACAAACCTAAACCAATGATGCATTGACACAGATGTGGCCAGTTGTATGCCCAACCATAAAGAGTGCTGTCTAATGCAGGGTACAGCTATCAGTTGGATATTCTGCTCACGACGATATGCTATATTGTATTAGAGTATGTATACAAGTAGAAAATGAATTTTATCCCTATCAAAAGTGAAAATGAGTTAAGTTCTAACAAGGAAAATAACATAGATAGCACACATGCATTTATATTCCTTCAGAAAGTCTTTAAAAGAGAGTAAATTTATTGAAACCAGTACAGTGCAATTCTTTCAGTAACACGGAGATGGAATCAACATTCCCAGGCTAAGCAATAGAGTGAAAATAGGAAGACTGAAGTAAAAGGAGAAAAAAGCAAGAAGGGTCAGGCCTGTTAAGTTGGGTAGAAAGAGATCCAGCAAAGATGCATATATACATAATTCATGGGCACAGACATTATGGTGGGGCAAGGGTGAGCCAGGAGAGGTCAATGAGGAAAAAAGGGGAGCATATGTAATACTTTCAATAATAAATATTTAATAAAACAACAGTTTGAGAATGCTAAGACTGCCAGTTTCAGCAGAGAAGTTGTTCAAAGATCAATAAGGGGCTTAAATGGAATTGTTCAAAGATCAATAAGGGGCTTACATGGCAAAACAGTGCACCAGGGCTGGAGCCCAGTGTCATTAAAAGTATTCAGAAAAGCTTGGAAAACGTAGGGAAGAACATTTTTTGAAGTCTAGAAAAGTGCAAAGGGAGTGGGGTGGAAAGGACATTTACATATAGTGTGTGTGTGTGTGTGTGTGTGTGTGTGTAGACCATTTTCCCCTTTGCTTTGGTAGCAATGTAAAGTTACAGGTTCAGGTCATCTATACTAATAATCTATACTAATAAAAGGGTAATATGCTAATTAGACCAGAAGACCTTCTGGGAGACCTTCTGGACAAAGCCACGGTGGCAGGGCTGAGGCAGAGGCGGTTAGGGGAGATCAGGCCGGCAGGGAGAGCAGTTGGGGGCGACCAGGCTGGCAGGGGGGACAGTTGGGGACAAGCAGGCTGGCATGGGGTCGGGGGGGGGGGACATTTAGGGGTAATCAGGCTGGAAGAGAAGAAGTTGGGGGTGATCAGGCCAGCAGGCAGAGTGGTTAGGGACGATCAGGCAGGCAGGCAGGTGAGTAGTTAGGAGCCAGTGGTCCCCAATTGTGAAAGGGAAGTCCTACTGCTGTGGGATTGGGCCTAAACCAGCAGTGGGATATCCCCTGAGGGTTCCCAGATTGGAGAGGATGCAGGCCGGGCTGAGGGACATCCTTCCACCCCCCCACGAATTTTGTGCACTGGGCCACTAGTCCTATATAATAAAAGCCCTATATGCTAAGTGTCTGGTCGTCCAGTTGGCTGTTCAATCAAAGTTTAATATGCTAATGATATGCTAAGGCAGCTCAACCGCTCACTGTGACCACTATGGGGCATACAGTCGACTGGTTGGCCAGTCGCTATGATGTTCACTGACCATCAGGAGGCAGACATTCTAACCAGTAGGTTAGCTTGCTGCTGGGATCTGGCCAATTGGGACTGAGAGATGGCTCTCTCAGTCCCTCCCCACCTGGCCAACATTCTTCGTCCCTCCCCAGTCCCAATTATGTACGGGTGTTGCAAGAATTTGGGTCTGTATTTTATAACAAGGTAAGTGCTAGAGCATCTTTGCATCAGGATGTCAAATTGGACAAAAATCACAAGATAGGCTGATAACACTGGTGACTCCTAGAAAAGAGGCACCACTGAATATTACATCATTCAAAAGAAAATAATTACATTTAATTAGACAATAAATGCAAAAGCAAAGCATCTCACATGTAGCAAAGCTATTTGCTCCATGAAAAGTATAATGAGGACATGTTGAAATTCAGGCTAATTAGTAATCAGTGTTTGTGGACTTCAGGTGAATTTATGATGTCCTATCAATAGAACTGTGGGCACATTCATAGACTTAATGAAAGAGTTAAGACTTATATTAAAATTAGCTCTCAAGTACAAGTAGTTTAAAATTTCTCATTAAACCAAGCGGCCTTTTGAGATCATTTTGTGTTTTGTGTCTATTCAACCTCACCATTGAATAAGCGAAGACATTTATAAAAATAGATATAACTATAATACCTACTGCACAGTGATAAATATCCTAAGTATATGTGTTTTTGGACCCTTACAGTAGCCCTATAAGGTAGGTGTTTTTGACTCTTATTTTACAAATGAGGCCAAAAGGGATCATTGAATTTAATAATTTGACTAAGAGCACACATCTGGTCAAGGGAGGGGCCAGAATCTGCTCTCAGCTCTGTCCCACAACCACCCCAGAGTGCAGGGGCAGCCCCTGGTTTTAGCCCCGAGAGCCTGCATCCCAGGAGACCCCTCAGTCCCCGGCCGCCCGGATGATCAGTCACCATAGCACACCCCCTTTTCGTTTTATAATTGCCTTTTCCTCTTGTAACCATTTTCAAGTTATTTAAAACAGAAGAAAGGTAGGCACAGGTGGTTCTAGCTATGCTATCAAGTTGTGTGAATGAGATGACACCTTGGCGGGATTAAATATTAAAGAAACCATTGTGATCAAACAAGGCCAGGAGGAGGAGCCTCCCGCCCTGGCCTTCCGAAGTAACAGGCCAGAAGTGCAAGCATTTTTTATTTCTTAAAAGTAAAACATTCAGACGAACAGACGAGTTAGAGACTTTAAAAATATTCTGAGTGCTTCAGAGTTAGAACACATTAGGTGGTATTCCACTCTGTTTTCATCTCTTTTGTTGTTTTCCCCTAAAAGAGTTAATGTGGGATTAAATGTGAACCAAGAACAATCCCTTCAAATAGAGCAGTGGTTAGCAAAGCAGTGGTTAGCAAACTCATTAGTCAACAGAACCAAATATCAACAGTATGATTGAAATTTCTTTTGAGAGCCAAGTTTTTTAAACTAAATCTTCTTCTAATGCCACTTCTTCAAAATAAGACTCGCCCAGACCATGGTATTTTGTGGAAGAGCCACACTCAAGGGGCCAAGAGTCGCATGTGGCTTGTGAGCAGCAGTTTGCCCACCATGGAAATAGGGCATTTGATGAACTCCCAGATGCTCTAGGTTTCTGTTAACCTGTGTCACTTATGCCCTTTTCTCTAACAAAGTCTGCTGAAATATTGGGGGGGGGGGGGGGGGGGGGGGGGGGGGGAAGGGAACACGACGACGACCTGGTTTTGAAATTATTGCTCCCATTTGATTAACTTGAAAAAAGTTTTCAAACATTTTCATTTTAGGTAATAATATGTTTTTTACACATTAGTGCGATTTAGTTGTTATGAGGGTGAGAACCTGGGGTTTTTCTGGCCATTTGGTTGAATTTGACAAAAGTGAGTTCAGAACATAAAAGCTTTGTAAGAACTTGAGAATCTATTTTTTCTGGGAGGATTATTATATCATCATTTATTTCTCATGGAGAAACAGCCCCTCTTATATTGTAAGAACCTCTTAAAGAATCAAATGATGCTGACAGGCCTAGCCTGTCCTAAATTGTCTCAGTTTCTGAGCAATTACTTAAGCAGCAGCTACTGTTCTTGGTTTTTGCTGTGGTGGGTAAAGTTTTTACATCACGTATTCCAAGACAGTCATTTTTAAAATGTTTAGCTTGTTTGAAAACGTATTTTGTTCTTAGTTTGATAAGGGAAACTTATCAAACTTCCTTCCTTGGCTGTTGGCTAGTTCCCTTTATCTGCTTTATCCTTTTTGTTCTGTTAAGCTTTTTCAATGGAACCCTGAAGAAAAGTGGTCAGTGCTCATTTGTTTTTTAATATATATCATGATGTCTTACTTTTTATTAGGTTGAATTTGAAGATGGATCGCAGATAGCAATGAAGAGAGAGGACATCTACACTCTAGATGAAGAGTTACCCAAGAGAGTAAAAGCTCGTTTTGTAAGTGCTGGCAATGCCACTCAGGGATCTGCCCTGTAGTCCCTTATCCTCTCCAGCGGGAAACATGCTGAGGTCTCACAGCATATCTTCCATAGTGTCTCCCTCCTCTCCCCTCTCTGCCCTCCTTCCTCCTCCCCTTTGTTTTTAAATCACACACACACACACACTTTTATTTTTTAACTGCCTAGATTTTGAGGATGGGAAATGGAGTGAGTAGCCCCCTGGAAGTCTCTCAAGTCTTTGACTCTCTAATCCATGTATGGCTAAACATTCTGTGTGCCTGGTCCTGCAGATTTCAAATAGTGTTTCTTATTCTGTATTAAAAGAAATCGCTTTCTTCTCTGACCACAGTCTTTGTTCCACAGTAGATTTGGCTCTAATACAAGGATACCCTCTCATGTGGCTTTTTTTTTTTTTTTACTCAGCTCCTGAGTTTTCTATGTCCATTTCTCTGAACAGTTACCAAATTCACCCTTTTTCTTTTTTAAATGATCAGAGGAAAAAATGTTAAGAAACGGCGGTGAAAAATGTGTCACATATATAATCTCAATGTAACCTGACGTGTCACAGAGGTGAACCTAGTAGAAAATACCTTTAGGAACAAAGGCTGGCGGGCCAGCTTGCTGCCAGTGCTTTTATTGAGTCAAAGACGAGGCCCTCCTGTTGTAGGAAAGACTTTTCTCTCAGGCTGAGATGCAGCCCTCTGGCCCTCGGGCAGTTGTCTATGACTGCTATTTTTCCCCCCAGTTGGCGAAACAACTCTAATTGGAAAACTCATTGAAGGGAGATATTTATGACTAGAGAAATCTCTTTTGTGTGTTTTAAGAAGGGGGTGTGTTAGCAGCCCTCCTTGGGTGGCCTCCATGTTTTAATGAATTGTGCTCACCCAGACACATGCTGATTTGGAAAGAAATTTTTCAAAACAGTCAGCAGTCCACCTCGGTGATTGTGCTGGGTTCTTTCCCACTAACTTCAGAAACAGCCCCATTACCTTTTATTGTCTCACAGAATAACCATAGCAACAGTGCATAATTAACTAGAGCTACTGGTAAATCGGTTTCATTATTGTGTTTGAGAGGCTGAGTTTTGCTGTTCTCACACAGTGGCAGCGCTGTCAATGCTTTATTTCCTCCTTTGATAACTTGAGCATTTATAAAAGGGAAAGATAACTCAGAGGAAGTACTTTCCCCAGAAAGAATGAAGCAAAAATGTTTTCTCCCAATGGCAGGGAGCGCCCAGCCAACCACCAGGCTTCCTGGGTGAGACAAGGCAGTGTCTGGGGACCCTTGGAAGCAGCCTGTTACCCTGGGTAACCGTCTCCTAGCTGGCAGGGAGCATGCCCCGCTGTGCTCTTGGGCCATCTTTTTAGTTTCCAAGCTTCGTTGTAACTATTCCATTGTTTGTCTCTTCCTCACAATTGACTGTGTTTTCAAGCCCTAAAAGCTGGACTGTGCCTCCATCACCAACCCAGGAAGGAGGCCTCAGTGACATAGCAAGATGCTCTACCCGTTGGTTATTCTGTGTGATCCAACTCAGTGAAAACCAGTTGGGAATGGTTTTAGGAGGCAAAATAGTAGGGAGTTTGGAAACAAAAGCAGTGCTTTGTACTGTAGAATTTACCTGATCCTAACAGAAAAGCTCACATTCTTTCCCCAGCAAACACTTAACTGAGCAGTGGACGAGAGCTGGGCATATTGCTTGTTATTGAGAAAATGTGTAAAACCAATACTCAGTCCCTAATATCCTTACCCTTAAGGGTTTTGAGAAACCCTTGATGGGGAGAAACTCACCTGTCCCTGTCCTTGCCACTGCCCTCATCCCATGGCACTGCCATGGAAAGTCTTACAGGGAGCAGAAGGAGGGCTTCAGAGATGCCTGTGGCAGAGAAGATGGAGTCTGTTCCATGCAAAGGAAACAGTGCGTCCAAAGAGCCAGTAGTTTGGCGGGGACCTGAAACAAGTCAGTCTGACCGGAGCTTGGGATAGGATTCTGCCAGGTTATATAGGTACAGCCGAGGGCATTGGGATGTTGTCTTTATTGAAAGATTAGAAGCATGAGTGTCACTTAGAAAGTTTTTAAAGAATTTTCCTCTACTGGTTCTGTAGAAGATAGCCGGAGGTTGTCGCATTTGTCTCAATGCTTCAGAAAAGGATGTGTGAGGCCTGCACCATGGGGCAGGTGGTGGTAAAGAATAAAGGATGGAAGGTTTCATGTAGGAGGGGTACTGGACAGGCTGAAGGCAGGGGGAGTTTGCAATGACTTTTAGGTTTCTGATCATTGTAGCTAGATGGATGGGGATAGTTGTGCCATTTATGAAATATAATATGCCCAGTGCACAGATTCATGCACCAGTGGGGTCCCTCGCCCTGGTCTATGGGGATTGGGCTGAAACCAGCTCTCCTATATCCCCCGAGGGGTCCTGGATTGCGAGAGGGTGCAGCCAGGCCCAGGGACCCCACCAGTGCACGAATCCATGCACTGGGCCTCAAGTATGCATATAAAGATCTTTGGTTAATCTCTTCCCACCCTCCCCCTAACACCCTTCCCTCTGAGATTCATTAGTCTGCTCCATGTTTCCATGCCTGTGGGTTCCACTCCTGCGTTGAACGTCTGTCCCCTGGTGGCCAGTGCATGTCATAGCTACCGGTTGGCCGGTCAGCTGGTTGCTTAGGCTTTTATATATAGAGATTGGCAGGACAGGGATGGAGAAGGAAAGATTTGAGTTTCATTCAGGACACATTGATTCAAAGTGCCTGTGGAGTAAACACTTTGAGATGTCTGCTGGGCAGTTGGACACCCAGGCCTGAGCACAGAAGGAGGTCTGGATGGATGAGAAATGTCAGCATCATGGGAATAGATGCAGGAATTGAGGCCATGAATGTGGGAGTAAAGATCTGGGGAACATATGGGGAGAGAAGAAGGCCAAGTGTAAAATCCTAGGGGCATCAGAGTTGAGCAAATAGTTAAGAAAGGGGAAGCCCTGTGCCATCAACAGTGAGTACCTGGAGGAGAAGGGGAGTCAGGAGGAGGGGCTTATAAAATGACAGAAAAGAGAGTTTTGAGCAACAGGTGACAGAATAGTTATATAAGTTTAGGATAGACAAGTGTCATAGGAACTAGGACTTGAGCAAGGATAGTTTCAGGAAGGTTGTGGGGGCAGAGACTTGGAGTAAATAGGAATAGGGGTGAATTAAAGATGACAGCTGACCAATTTTTCAGAAATCTGGGTGGGCAGGAACTAGAGGGAAGGTAGAGAATGAGGGAAATTTAAATGAGACTTTAATCCTGCTGGTGCTGGGGCGAGTCCCTGGGGTTGGAGACCCTGAAGAAAGAGGGGTGAGGTGGAGGGGGTGGGTAGGAAGGTTCCAGAGCCCCCCCCCCCCCCGGGGCTGGCCCTTCACCCTTGGCTGGTGACCTCTCCCTGGCACCCCTGGATCAGTCTTTGTTCACTCTTGCCATGGTCAAATGTGTGCCCTTCTGCAACGTAACGCCGGCTAATTTTAGTCCACAGCCTCTGACATGCGATTTGAAGACACCTTTTATGGAGCAGACATAATCCAAGGGGAGAAAAAGAGACAGAGAGTGCTGAGCTCCAGGTTTAAAAACGAATACGTGGACGACCCCGTGTACCGCACGTTTCTGAGGAGCTCCTTCCAGAAGAAGTGCCAGAAGAGGCAGTAGTCTGCGCGAGCCGCCGCAGCACCAGAGCGGCGTGGGCAGGAGGAGGACAGGCAGGGGCAGCCATGGGCTGTGCCACGCGTGTCGCTGCGGTAGGTGACGGTGCGTCTCTGACGGTGGAGAGCTAGGCTCCCAGAGCACGGTAACCCAGCCACAGAACACACATCCTGTTAATTGGATACGACCACCTGGAGCCATCCCCTAGTCTTGCTTTCACACGTGCACAATTGTCTTTCAGGATCCCAAAGGATTTTTCTAAGTGAAAGGAAATAATAGTGAGTCACCCACCGAAAAAGCCCCCGCCAGAGGACATGGGTCCCCACCTGCAGCTTAGGCCCCCGGGCAGGAAACACAGGGAAACACCCCGCCCCCGGCAGGTGGGAGCCTCCCACGGGGTGGGGAGGCGGGAAGGGGTGGAGGGGTCATTTTTACATTTTCCACAGTCAGGGAAGGATTCTCACGTACTTGTTTAAAATGGCAGTTTTTATAAAATATTTTTAAACCACAAATGGCATGGATGGCGATGAGATTTACCCATGTGCTACCTGTATTTCCCTTGTACAGAACTTTTACATTTTTTTATATCCCTATTACTTTTCATTGTGTCTGCTGAGAACTAAGTTGTTGGCATTTGTGAAATTTTTGGCTCTTGAGAAAGAATTTTTATGAATTGTATGGAGATTTTATGAATTGTATGGAAATTTTATATATTTAAAGAGGGAGACCTGGGGCTGTTATTTTTAAACACTTTTTTTTTTTCATAATACTTATTCTAAGTAGATATTTATAAGAGGTTTCTTTCATTATGTGTTTGTAAAATTAGAGTTTAAATAAATATGCTTTGATGCATAGTTTTGAATTAATATGATTTTCCCTTTTTAAAACAGCCTGAAAATGTACTAGTGTTTAAAAATAAAGATTTCCATCTTCTCCAGCTCTGTTTTCTGACTTGCTTATTCACCTAGGTTTCAACCAATAGGAAATCTGGTTTGTTTGGGAGCTGGCTCTCGTGGACATGTCACCGGGGACAGCCATGGGGTTGCCGCCTGCCCACAGTGCCAGCCGGGGTTTCCTCAGCCCCTGCCTCCAGGCCTGGAAGAGATCCGAGCGCTGAGGTCTCAGCTCTTTTCATCCCGGTTTTCTTGGACCCCAGTTGCCATTAGAAGAGGCTGTATGGATCCTCTAACCCCTCCCTTGCTTCATAAAGTATGAGTCGGGGATAGATGGGAAAGGGATTGCCCAAGGTCACACTGTCCCCAGTGATGCCCCCTACCAGCTGCGAGCTCTCAGTGGCCTCTGGGAGAAGCACTTCTTTTGCTTATGAGCGTGTAGGTTGGCTGTGCCAGGCCGAGCTTGGCTGGCAGCTGTGTTGACCCGGGCTTGGGCTGGCTCTCATATCTGCTCCGCATGTCTCCTGCAGCCCACTGGACCTCGTGGGTAACCCAGGTAAGGTCTTCTCAGGTCAGTGGCAGAGGTAGAAAGCAAACGAGCCCAGCTGAATAAGTGCATTTCAGCCCGGTCTGGGATGTTGGTTAACATCTGTGGGCCAAATCCCACCGCCAGGGATTGGAGGGCATTTCAGAGTTTCATGGCAAGGAATATGGATGTATAGGGTTACAGGGTAGAGTAAAGAGCCGAATTTCCAGTGCCTCATGGCTGAACTCTGAGCTGGGGAAGAGCCTGCCAACTTTATTTTCACAGACTGAGCACTTTACGTTCTCTGCCATTATAGTCAGATATTTTAGCCAGTAATCAAACTTGCATTTTATATTTCTCGGTTTTGAATGACACTGACCTGCTGTGTCTACGATATGCCAGGAAAGTAGGCCTGTGTAAGGCATTAAGAGGAATTAATCTAAACAGGATCATTCGTTTTGTACATGTTTGCCTGTCAGCAAGATTGCTCATTGGCTGCCACAGGGAGAGAATGTACAGAGTCTTATTGTCAAATACAGCTGCTCTTTGTAGTCTCACCTCACTAGTGGTTGTATAACCAAGTACAGCTGTCTACAGCCTTAGCCAGCGGTGCCAAGCACAGTTGTACGCGGCTCTGGAGAGAGACAATTGGTGTCACTGCATCCAACATAGTCCTTACCAGTTCTATGACCAGGAAGGCTGTTAGAGCTTTTCCACTTACTGCAGGACACCTCAGTTGTAATGTTCATTGCTTTGTGTTACACTAACTGCAATTTTAGTGGGAATGTGCAACATGAAATCAATTGAAGCCCTTCTAGTATTTTTTTTTTTTAATGTTGCTAGCTGTGATATTTCTAATGTCATTCTAAATGCATGCCTTTTCTCTTGACGGTTAGAGGATTAGTAACAACTGCCTGGCATATTTCACAACCTGTTAGTTCTTTTATGTGTGTTTGAAATGAGAACAATGTGATCCTTGTCAGTTTGCTTTTATTAAGGTAATTTTGTTTAGTTCTTCTAGAGAGAAATTGAGAAGAAGCACCAACACTAAAATATCCCATGAGTTCTCAGAATACATTATAAATAGCCACTGGGTAATGATATATGAAAACACGAGGACTCAGAATACAGAAATATGCAGGAGTAAATGGTCTGTCTGCCACTTCTCCCTGTACCCATCCAATGGGAAACAAAGCCGAAATGCCTCCATGACCGTGAGTGGACCTGGAGGTCAAGGAGCAATCATATTGGAGTAGGGTATGCTGCAAGGTAACAATATGCTTTATTTTTTCCTTTTACTAAAAGGTGTAGGGGATGAAACGATCTTTATTTCACATTCTAATCAGCCTCCTATACTTGGAGCTAACTAGAGGTCCCCAGACATTCTCATTACCTGAAGTAGTAATTGGTTGGTTGCACGACTCAGTTGTACTACAGACTCTTTCTGGGAATTCAGGTGGCAGTCGTTGTAGGTGTTACGCCCTCTCTCACCCAGCACAGTGCAGAGACAGACAGCGCTGTGGTGGGGAGAATGGTTCCTGGCGTGAGACCTGAGTTCTGCATCAGTGGACAGACATGTAAAAGCCCCATGCTCCATCCTCAGAAGGTGAAGATCTCCGTAGAAATGGAACTTCATGGAGAGAAGCTGACACTAATGATGTGTAGAGCATCTGTTGTGCACACCCAGCCTGGTAGGCACCTTAGTGGAGTTTATCTTATTTAGCCTCCCCAAGGAATTAGCAAAGTAAGTATCATTTCCCTCTTTCATGGATATAAACTAAGTCTCAGAGAGGTTAAGTAAAATTTGAATTACTCAAAGTTCTCATTGCATGAGGGACAAAGGATTCTAAACCTAACCTAAATAAAAGACGTTGGATGGATGAGTCTGAAGCTCAACGGCAGGTTAGCACTGGAGTCATAAAGAAAGCATCATCTTTATTAAAAATATTATACATGAGATTTACCTTTTGGCAAAGGCAAAACTATAGGGACAGAAAGGGATCAGCGATGCCAAGGGCTGGAGGTAAGGAAGGATTGAGAACAAAGGAGTTTGATGAAACTTCTTTGGAGTGATGGAAAGAATGACCTTGAGGAAAGCATTTCAAGTGGTTTCAGATGAGAAATCTATTAACATTAAAATTTGTGTTCCTGTTGGACATGCACCCTCTCTTCTCTTTTTCAACATTTTCTTCTTTATCTTTAGTTTTCAGAAGTGTGATGATAATGTGTCCTGGCTTTGATTTATTTTGTTTTATTTTGTTTGGAGTTGGTTCAACTTGCTGGCCTTTTACCGAATTTGGGGGGAATTTCAGCCATTATTTCTTGGGATTTTTTTTTTTAACCTCATACTCTTCTTTTTTTTCTGGGACTGCAACGACAGAAATGTTGGGTCTTTAAAGTCTATTTTCTCTGTTCAGATTGGCTAAATTCCATTGATTTGCTCTCATGTCCACTGATTCTATGCTGTGTCATCTCCAAACTATTATTGAGTATTTGAGTGAGTTTTTTATTTTGGTTATTGTATTTCTAAGTTCCATAATTCCCATTTGGTTCTCTCTTATATCTTCTGTTTCTTTGTTGAAATGTTCTGTTGTTTTCATTTGTTTCAAAATTTTTCATGATTATTCATTGAACTCTTTTTCTGGTGGCTGCTATAAAATCTTTTTTCAGATTATTCCAGTGATTATTCCAATACTCATTTTAGTATTGGTGTCTATTGATTGTCTTTTCTCATTTAAGTTGTGATTTTCCCTGTTCTGACCTGACCAGTGATTCAACTGTAACCTGGACATTTTGGGTGTTATATTTAGAAGACTGGCTTCTACCTAAATCTTTCCTTTTAGTTGGAAGTCCCCCTGTTTTAGTTTAGTGCGAGGCCCTAGCCTACTGTTATAGGCTGTGGTTCCATGACCATGTGATTTTTGGTGCTCTTACAGTTCTCCTCTGCTCTGCTTTGTTTTTGTGCTGCCCAGACACCACTCTGCAAACCTGGCTCAGTTCTCAAACTTGCTGGTGAGTGAATATAGGTCAGTTTCATGTGTGAGCTGCTCAGAGTGTTCCTATGCAGGTTTAAAGGATTCCTATTTTGAGCTCCCCGCTCTCCAAGATCCTCCTTCCATTCTCTCCTTAGGAATGTGGGGATGCTGCCTCCCACTGGAAACCTCACTTAGTCTCCACTGACGGCATGATGGCAGGGAGAGGAGTGCTCTCAAGGCCCTCCAGCTGATGCCACGTCAGGGCAGGGGTGGAAGTCCGGACTCCCCACTCAGTCTCCACCTACACAACACTGGGTAGAGCATCAGAAATCACATGGTCATTGGAACCACAGCCCATAAAAGTAGGCTAGGGCCTAACACTAAACCAAAATGGGGGGACTCCCCACTTGATGTCTACTAAGCTTGTACAGGCAGGGGCCATTCATTATGTTTGATTGGGGTAGTGTATTGTCCAAAAGGATTTTGTCATGGTATGGTGCTCCTTTCTGGGTTCTTTTGACTAGAGAGAGTAGGCTTTTCTTAGAGCTTTCGAATTCTTTTTCTGTGCCTGTAGTTGGGGGTTCCAGTTTGCAGGCTGTACATGAGACATAAAAAGCAAACCCAGACTATTCATCCCTGTGTAGTTCCTATGTCCTGAAGTCCCTCGTTAATCTGCCTGCCTCTTTCAATATTTCATAGTCCTATGATTGTTTGTTGTATTATATCCATGGTTTTGAGTTATACCTAGCCTGGAGGAGCCCAAAGAACAAAGTCATCTCTATCTTACCTAGGACAAGAAGCCCTCACTTTTTATTATAGATGGGAAAAAATAACTTATTGCTAAGAGTATGGAGCAAGAGATTTGTTTAAAGTCAGATATTGAAGATTTAAAGGGAAT